AGTGAGCCTTTTTCGTTAAGCACGAATGGGATTTTGCAGTCTTGGAGAGATTTGCAAGAAATGTGTGCTTTAAAAAAAAAAATCTTTGAAATGGAGGGTTTTTAGAAAATGCATTTAAAAAAAAATGTGATTGACTCGGAACAAGATTTTTTTTTTTTTTTTTTTCCTCCCATGCATGTGTGTTTTTTGCCGTATTTGTGACTTTGGAAAATGTCCACTTTTCTTTCTAGGGCTCGAAGATCCTTCCAGAATGCCGGAGGAAAGTTCTCCCAGGCGGACGCCACAGAATGTTCCGTACGAGAACCTTGCTCACCTGGTCAATGCGGACGGGCAGTACCTGTTCTGCAAGTACTGGAGGCCGACGGGCACTCCCAGGTAAGTGTCCCCCGAGTGTCGCGCCACCCAGGTACACGGGGACTGTTGTCACCTGCTTTCTCTGTGACCTACTTCTCCAGCATTTTACCATTAGGCACCGCAGGGTTAACCAAGCTGAAATGTGTACTTTATCATTTTTTAAAAATGTGAAATGCAAAAAAAAAACAAAAAAATGTAAGATGCAGTTCTTTTTTATTTTTTATTTTTTGCATTTTAACAACTAGGATACAGATTCGAACCGTATGGCAGTTTTGAAAAATTCCGCATGACTTTTATTTTTTTTTTTTTCCCGTGCTGGACTTGATTTCCCGGGGTAGCAGGCATGCGTTCAAAAAGCAAACCCGACGATGAAAAAAAAAAAAAAATCCCCTAAAATGCATAAGAAAACCAAAGCGATATATATGCATGCATGTTTGACTCTTTGCTCTGTGTCCCGACGCTTGCATCTGAGCTTTGCAAGATGGCACAGGCGTGTGTCACCGGGGGAGAAAAGGGATCTGGGTGTCGCCTTGCCATTCCCCGCCAGGTTGATTGCTTGGGACATTTTCCACCAAGGGTGTGTCTTGCCGTTAGAAACGCGCGTTGTTGGGACTCCACACCAGACAGGTGGCCGCCTCCCGCTGTCCCCAGCCCCTCCTCTTGCATGAAACAGGAAAACCCTGCTCGTTTGTGTTATTCCGGGAAAGGAGTTGTTTGTGCTAAGCGACTGGCCTGGTGACAAGCAAACATTTCCTGTTCCAGGGACCTTTTACCTGTTTAGGAGGCCTCTTGCCTCTCTCGGTGGCGCGGTGAAGGCTGATATCTTTGTGTCTCAGGAGTCACCCAACCCTAGCACAGAATTTCTAGAATTTCTCTCATCTCTTCAACAAGATCCAGGCAGCTGCACATTCAAAACACAGAGATACAGATTTGCAAAACCCGGCTTGGAATCGTGGCTTCAGGGCAGCTGTATACATGGGCTATGTATTTCTCTCTAGAGTGTAATGGGCTGATAAGACTTCTTGCCGGTGGTGACAATATCTTTCTTGAAAGATGTCCTCTAGAGGAGAGTGTGTCTGCAGGTGACTATGTTTTAGGCCAACGGTCCCCAACCTTTTTGGCACCAGGGACCGGTTTCATGGAAGACAAGTTTTTCCATGAACCAGCTATTGGGGCTGCGGGGGATGGGCTGGTGAAGGTGGGCCCAGGAGCTCTGTGGCCGGGTCTCTAACGGGCCACCACGGAGGTACCGATCCCTATCCTGGGATTGGGGACCTCAGGTTTAAAGGAAGAGAGGGAGGGGGAGACAGAGAGAGGATTGTCAAGCATGATGATGCTTATTTTTTTTTTTTTTTTTTTGAGACAGAGTCTCGCTCTGTCACCTGGGG